GTTGTTATTAATTTATAATATATAAAATATAGTAAAATTTAGATTATTGATTAAAAAGCATCGTATATGACAGCATAATTACCGTAATAGTGCATATACAAGACCCAGGTCTAGTGCATTCAACCAATTTTAAAACCTTTAATAGACCCGGGGGTCTGTTGTATAGACATTGGTCTGATAATCGGGTGAGGCTTTTATGTGGGAAAGCCAAAAACTTATTGACTTTATGTAATATATGATGTTCTAATATCATAACGGGTCTTCTAATCATTGTTTCCTATAATATACATGGGTTTTTTTCATATTATCAAAATTTTTATCCAGGTTATAGTCCCGGGTCTGATATAAAAATTATTTATATTATATTTAATTATTAAAAATTTTATTATAAAAAATCTATATATTGTAATAAATATAATATAAATACTATATATATATATAGAAATAAAATATTTATTATATAAAAAATTTTTAATTATCTTTATTTATCTTTTTATTCTTACTTTTGTTATTAATTTTACCTTTTTTAGTTTCCCCACAGTTTCGCGGAGTTTCGCCACCTTTCGCCATTTCACCATTTTGATTTTTTTTTGGCGAAAGTCGAAACTAGGTTTCGCCAAAGACGAAAGGCGAAACCTCTAAGTTTCGCCTGCCAACACTACGATGAATATTTAATTTTATAAACCAATTGATATAAAGTCAGTGTTCCTTATACTATATTTGATCTAATTTATTATCATAGACGTGAGTTGTTCCAAATCAAGTCGTAAACTAATCAAATCAAGGGGTTTGATATGTTTCAAAAGAGCTTTATTCTTTATTTACCATGCATTATAAATAGACAAAAAGTGAAATTTATGAAGAGCAGAATAAGTGATAGGGCAAACATAATAGATCAGAAATTCGTCAGGATTAAATCAGTTTAGAAGTTATTGCCACTTTGATATTTTATTTACTATAATTTAGTAGCATTAATGAATTGTTCTTTGAATTGAACTTGCGGTTATTTGTTAGAGATAGATATAACAAATCAAATTTGACAAAAAATTTTTTAAATTAATTTTATAAAGTTATAATGATTAAATTTTTATTAAAGTATTTTAACAAAGTTTTAAAAAAGTTCCACTAAAAAAATTTGCATGGTTTTACTGACTCATCCCAATAAATAAAACAGCAAAATTTTCAAAATAAATATCTTTATTTGCTGTTTGTATATTGATAATTTCCTGTTTGTATATTGATAATTTCGTTAGTATGTAGTAAAATTTTGCAAGAAATTTTTTTTGGTTATAGTCCAAAAGGTGGTTGATAGATAAAATTTTGAGACATAATTGATTTTTTAAAAAATTTTTTATCTTTAATACACGAAGCTAATCTACATGTTACATCTGGCCTTAAATCTGAAATAGTTTAATACACAAAGCTAATCTACATGTTACATCTGACCTTAAATTTGAAATGGTTTAATACCCTAGCGCCATAGCACTATAGTGCCATAAAAATATTCCCTTCATATTAAAGGTCCCTACGCATAACAAGGTATAATATACTGCAACTCACTCTCGTTATAGTGAAGTCGTCGGGCTAAAAAAATAAATCTTCACTTAAGCTTATATCGAAAAAATACTAAATGTACTTCACTATATCGAGTTGAAGTTTAATAATTTCGTAATTCTATACCAGCATACAAAAAGATCATAAATGTCAAGGCTTTAATTATATAATTGATAAACTATATTTATCTAAATATATTATCGTATATTACTTTATTAATATATATCAATAAAATCTTCCACATACTTTATGATCAATTAATTAATTCATAAAATATTGGTAGGCTACAAATTTTAGCAAATTTTTTGATTGATTTATTATAATCAGAAATAATAACAATCTTATAATTATTAAACCATAATTTCATTATAAATAAAATAATCGTTCAAAAATAAAAAATATTATATTAATAACTTTAATATTATTTTAAACTCATCAAAAAAAATTGCTAGTTTCTGTAAAGAACGAATCTTAATATCATCATTAATTTTCTTTTTTTCTGAATCTTTATTATTTCACGAACATAAAGCACGACTAAATATATCCTGCAAAAACTTATTATCAAAGAATATATAACCAAGGTCGTACCTTGCACGTACTTTCTCGAATTATTTAAATTTGATCTGAAAAACATCAGAAAGATGAGGTTTCACAATTGGAATAAATTTCCATTCTTTTCCCAATGAGATCTATAGTAAATAAGTTTGTACAATTAAATATAAAGAAAAATTTGATAATTTCTTACTTTGCTTTGTACATATCAAAATATCTCTAACCTAATAATTGTATAAATTCTCCCATCCAATTGTACCAATAATTGATTCAAAATTTATATAACAATACAAAGATTTTGGTCACGATCAAAAGTATTAGATAATAATGATTCAGTGGATTTTATGATCCTAATCATTATTTCAGTATTTACTGGAAATTTTCCTTTTCTTGCACAATCATATAGCTACAAATAAGGTTATTATAATACAATAAAAATAAACTAACAAAATATTAGAAATTGAACTCACTGTTTGGATTGCATGAGAAAATTCGGCAGCGACATTGGAAATATCAGACCAACTTTGAATCCAATTTCCGTTATATGTATCTTGACATTTTCTTGGCCAACCAAGAAATAGATAGAATCAGGGCTAGAAATACAGAACTAGTATTACCATTACTTTTCCTGTGGCAACAATATTTAAGAGCGCATACTGTTTAATACTATTCTGTCTTTGAGCTTCATATAATTGTTCGATCTGTTGTTGTGAAGCTCGCAGGTTCATCACTTCGTACCCAATTTTTAACCAAAACTTGATCTCTATTAGGGTCAAGAACATTCTGATTGAATCCATTGAATGGCCGATAAATTTCTTGAAGACCATCAGATGATTCTAAAATATTTTTGATATATTTTGGAAATATAGATGTCATTTATACGAAGATCATACATCGATTGTACGCGAAAAGTCAACGAATAGATTATACCAAGTAAAGCTGAATGATAATAAACTTAGATTGCCAAGAAAATGATAATCAAAAGTAAAAGCTTAGTAGATACCTAAATTGACTTTTGCAGCATTGAATTCTGATTTGCTTATTTCTTCGCTAAATTCACATACTTCGCCAGACCCAGTGACGAATTTCATAGAGCAAAGTTGTTCTGGCATAATGCCTGAACTGGTCTTTGCACCATGTGCACCTACTGCTATAACAGCAGGAACTCGAACCCTGCTAGGCACAGTCTCAGAATTAAGAGTTGATGGCGGATCATGATTTCGGAGTGCTTAATGATGTACCTATTTTTATCATAATTATATTTACATGTTTTGGATTTCAATTTATCATTGTAAGCATTTAAATGTGTGCAGGTAGATTAGTCATGTCAAAAAAAATTGTCATTGACGTGATATACAAGTAACCCAGGCTACATTTTTGTATTCGGGATCTAAAAAGTTCTTATGAATTTTTTATAAAAATTTGTTGGATTCCGAATCATAAGTATAAAATTAATAGAAATATAGTTTGAATGGCTTGTATATCACATCACTGACAATTGTTTTTGATATGACTAATCTACCTAATGAGTGCTTGATGTTTATTTTTATAATATTTGAGATTTCAAGATTAATAAATGATTCGGAATCTAATTTTAAATAAGTAATGTGTTCATTTTGAATCGAGTGATTTTTAAATCCTATATTTAAAATTTTATTTTTGCATGTTTATTTAATATTCTGATTTATTCGAATTTTAAAATTTTTGGTTTGTAATTTTTTTTTATGCATGTGAACTAGAGGTGCAGGCGGAACTGTCCCAATGAACCGCACGACACACAGCAAGTTACGTTTACGGTTGCGGAAAAAACCGCATGAAATCCACTTTCCGTATGAGTCACAAGTGCCGTATGAATCCCAAGTCCATATGAATTCAAAATACCGTATCGATAAATTAAAATTTTGATATCTATCGCTATGGCAGTATTTGTATTTAACTAGAAAAACGGCGACGTTTTATAGGCTGGAGCCTTAATTATTAGGTCTTGCATTTTAGAAATAAATAACAATA